GATGCTGGAGGGAGGGGAACATCTCCCTGCTGAGGAAAGGCTGAGGGAGCTGGGGCTGTTGGGCTTGGAGAAGAGGAGACTGAGGGGCCACCTCATCCATGGGCACAAATCTGCTCAGGGCAGTGTCAGGAGGACAGAGCCAGGCTTTGTGCAGTGATGTCCAGGGACAGGACAAGGGGCAGTGGGTGCAAACTGGAGCCCAGGAGGTTCCCTGTGAATCTCAGGAAGAACTTCTTTGCTGTGAAGTGCCAGAGCCCTGGGCCAGGCTGCCCAGAGAGGCTGTGGAGTCTCCTTGGCTGGAGACATTCCAACCCCCCTGGATCCTGTGGGATGTGCTCTGGGTGCCCCTGCTCTGGCAGGGGGTTGGGCTGGGGGAGCTTTCCCAGAACCCTGAGGTTCTGGGATTCTGTGAGTTCTGGGTGTTCCCATCCCAGGAAGTTTCCCAAGGCAGGTTGGATTTGGGCTCTGAGCAGCCTGGGCTGCTGGGAGGTGTCCCTGCCCATGTCGGGGGTTGGATCTGGGTGATCTTTAAGGTCCCTTCCAACCCAAACCAGTCTATGACCCAAGGTGGGACCACAGTGTGGTACAGATCCAATACACAACTTGGGAAGCCAGCAGGGAACTTGGGGTTGGGTTGCTGGTTCCATACAGTCAGATTTGATGTTGTCATTGTGCCCCCTCTGCTCTGCTGAGACCCCCCTGCAGGGCTGGGAACAGCTCTGGGGTCCCCAGCACAGGAAGGACATGGAGCTGTTGGAGAGAGGCCAGAGGAGGCCCCGGAGATGCTGGGAGGGCTGGAGCAGCTCTGGAGCCAGGCTGGGAGAGTTGGGGTGTTCAGCCTGGAGAAGAGAAGGCTCCAGGGAGACCTGAGAGCAGCTTCCAGTGCCTGAAGGGGCTCCAGGAAAGCTGGGGAGGGGCTTGGGACAAGGGCAGGGAGGGATGGGAGCAGGGGGAAGGGTTTCCAGCTGGCAGAGGGAGCTGGAGCTGAGATGGGAGGGAGAAATTCTGGGCTGTGAGGGTGGGGAGAGCCTGGCCCAGGTTGCCCAGGGAAGCTGTGGCTGCCCCATCCCTGGCAGTGTTGAAGGGCAGGTTGGATGGGGCTTGGAGCAGCCTGGGCTGCTGGGAGGTGTCCCTGCCCATGCAGGGGTGGGACTAGATGGCCTTGAAGGTCCCTTCCCACCCAAACCATTCCATGATTCTATGACCCCTTCTGCAAAGGCTCCAGCACTGCTCCCAGGTTGTCCTGCTCAGGAACATGCCCAGATGAGCAGATGTTCTTGGCTCTGAGCTGCTCCAGGCTGCACAGACCATCCTGCCCCTGATCTGCTGAGCCAGGCAGAAATGGACTGTTCTGCTCCCAATAAACCCTTTGTCACAAATTCCTGAGCACAGTGAATTTGTGACAGACCCAACTTGGACTCAGCTCCTGGAGTCCTTGTTCCCATGTGGGTGAAGTGGAGACGTTTCTGTCCCAACCAGTTGGTGACCAGGCAGGAAGGAAGCGTGGGTGGCAGGGGACAGGAGTGCCACCAACCCTCCCTGCAGTGCAGCTGGTTTCAAGCACAAACAAGTCACCAAATGGCCCCAGAAAGGAGAGGGAAGAGCCTGAGATCTGGGAGACTTGGGAGCTCATAGGGTTGCAAGGATAAAATGGTTTAAAACGAGGAGGAGTTTGGGAGAGGACAAAGTGCACCAGATCAGTTCTGGTGCTGGAGCAAGAGCAGCAGCTCCAGTCCAGACCCCACGGGGTCCTGGGCCAGCTCATCTCTTCCCAAGGGAGAAGTTCTCTGGAAGTGACAGAAGCTGAGAGGAGGTTGGAGCCAGGGGGGTTGGGCTCTGCTCCCCAGGAACAAGGGATGGGACAAGAGGAACCGGCCTCAAGTTGTGCCAGGGGAGGTGGAGGTTGGATCTGGGGAACAATTCCTGCCTGCCAAGGGTTGTCAGGGCCTGGCCCAGGCTGCCCAGGGCAGGGGGGGAGTCCCCATCCCTGGAGGGGTTTCCAAGCCCTGGAGATGGTGCTGAGGGACATGGGGCAGGGCTGGGGGAATGGGTGGATCCCACGATCTCAGAGGTGTTTTCCAACCCACCCCACCCCACCCCCTGGTCCTGCCTGACTCACACTGCTGAAGATCTGCAGCCCATCGTGTCCCCCCGACACGTAGATCCGGCCCTCGAAGACGGCGACTCCGGCGGCGCTGCGGTTGGAGCTCATGGGGGTCACCACTGTCCACCTGGCCAGGAGAGAGGGGACAGCTCAGCACAGGGCTCCCGTGGGCACAGCCTGCCTGGGGAGCATCCCAGCTCCGTGGGTTCCCTATGAGTGGGTTCCACTCCTTCTCTTTTCACCACCTGCTGTATCGAAATGAGGGTTCGGTTGGGTTGTGTCCGGGTGAACCTGTGCCAGGAGCTCTGCTCCTCTGCCACCATCCAAAGCCCCTTCTCTGGGGTCCTTGGACAGCCTGGAGGCCCAGAGGTGTTGCAGCACCTCCTGAGCAGCCCACAGATGGGCATGAGGAGCTCTCTAATAACAGGTTGGATGATTCATAATGGGTCTTGGGCCTTCTGAAGTCCCTTCCAACCCCTAAAATCCTGTGACTCTGTAACAGAACCCCAGCCTGGTTTGGGTTGGAAGGGACCTTAAAGATCATCTAGTCCCAACCCCCCTGCATGGGCAGGGACACCTCCCAGCAGCCCAGGCTGCTCCAAGCCCCATCCAACCTGCCCTTCAACACTGCCAGGGATGGGGCAGCCACAGCTTCTATGGGCAACCTGGGCCAGGCTCTCCCCACCTTCAATGTTAAGCAATGTCCTTATATCCAGCCTAACCCCCCCTTTCTGAACTTAACCCCCCCCTTGTCCCAGCTCTCACTTGTTGGTTTCTGGAGAGTAGGACTCCACAGAGTTGAGGGAGGAGTTGCCATCGTAGCCCCCGCAGACGTAGATCTGCCCATCCAGCACCACCGTCCCCATGGCACTGCAGGGAAGAGCAGGACCCTGTCAGGTGGCTGCTGCTGCCACCACACTGTCCCCAAGGTGGCAGATCTGCACAGCCTGTCTTGCCAGCACCTCCTTCACCCCCACCAGACCTCCTCCTCTTCCTCTGGCTTCACCTCCAGTGGTCAAACCCCTCCCTGTCCCACCCGAGCGTTGGGGCTCGGAGCTCAGGAAAACCCCAACACTCCACCTGGAGCAGCTGGTGCAAAACCCAACCCTTTCCTCCCACACAAGAGCATCCAAAGCCCCTTCTGCTGGGCTTCAAGGCCAAACAACCCACTTGTGGAGGAGCAACTGTCCCTCACGGTGAGGTGGGGCTCCCAGGAACATCACTGCTGTGGAAAAATGGAGCTTTTCCACTTCAGCTGGAGATTCCATGTCCTCAGCTGCCTGCACTGGGGCCTTCCCAAGTAACCAGTATCTCACACCACAGCAAAACCACACCAGAGAAACCATTATCATAGGATCCCAGACTGGTTTGGGCTGGGAGGGACATCAAAGATGAGCAGGTTTCAACCCCCCTGCTTTGTCAGGGACACTCATGGCCAAGAAGTTCTGCAAAGCTGGCGGAAAAGTGAACAGTTTAACCACTCTTGGTGACCAGGCATGAGTGCAAAGAAAGGGAAGATGTTTAACCATGGAAGCAGTGACCATGTTGTGGTGGGATGACCATGTGACCTTAATAACACAGGGTGAGCTCCCAAACCCAACCACGAAACTAGTGGGGAACCATGATGTTCCATTCATGGAGCACAAACACCTTCTGCTTAGCTGTAAACTCCCCTCTCTGGATGATAAAAGATGCTCCTCTCCTTCCCAGCTGGGATTCTCTTCTATCTCCTGGTAGGGGAAGGAGATGCCACCACTGGCCAGGGATGGTGAAACAGGTTGGTTTGACGTGGAGCAGCAGAGGAGTTTCCCACATGGTGCTCACCAGCACTTCACCCATCATCATGAAGAAACAGGGCTCTGACCCCTCCCTGGGGACTCCAGTTCCCTCACAGACCTCAGCAGCAGAACCTCAGCACTCTCTCCATGTGATGACTCTCCTTGATTCCACCAGAACTGACACCTCTGGAGCTCCCAGCCCACACTGCTCGGCTGCTTCTTAATTACCAAGGTCTTAATGACTTTCCCTGCACACACCATGGTGCACACGTTGAGCTTTGTTGAATCCCAGCCTGTTGGGGTTGGGAGGGACCTTGAAGACCATCTAGATCCAACCCCCCTGCATGGGCAGGGACACTTCCCACCAGCCCAGGCTGCTCCAAGCCCCATCCAACCTGCCCTTCAACACTGCCAGGGATGGGGCAGCCACAGCTTCCCTGGGCAACCTGGGCCAGGCTCTCCCCACCCTCACAGCACAGAATTCTTCCTAATGTCCAACCTAAATCTCCCCTCTTCCAGTTTTGAGCCATTCCCCCTTGTCCACCTCTCTGTCCCAGTCTGACCTTTTAACACCACCCACCACCCACTGGACCTGCTGACAACTCTCCCCTCTCCCCAGCAAGCAGCTCCCAGCACCAACACAACGTGCCTGTCCCAAAAGTGGCCAACCAAAAAGCTTCCACACTGCTCCACTCCTCCTTTTTCCTTTTCCTCCTTCCCCACCTGTGAACTTCTCACTTGGTGCCCACCACCCAACACTTCCTTTCCTTTCCCCCTTCCAACTTTGCCTGTTCCCAGCGGGGGCACCTCCCACCTTTTCCGCTCCACCTAAGTCAGCATCTCATTTTTCCCACCCCTTCCTCCCACTCCAAACACCCCCTTTTCCCACACCTCAGCGACCCACACCCACCTTCTCTTGCTGTTCATGCTTTCCACTTTGGACCAGGAGTCCAGCTCAGGGTTGTAGACCTCCACAGTGCTGAGCCTGAGCTGCCCGTCGTAGCCGCCGATGGCGTAGAGCAGCCCGTTGAGCACGGCCACCCCCACCCTGCTCCGGGCCGTGCCCATGGGCTGGCACTTCTCCCAACGGTTGGCAATGGGGTCAAACACCTCCACCACGTTCAGGGAGTCACCTGCATAAAAATGTGCTACTCAAATTAAAAAGAGGGAGATGGGAGAGGTAAAAAAAACAACAGCTGCGAGATCGCCCGGAGCGAAGGGAAACACAAGGGGTGGGCGAGAGGTGTGAGACCCAAACACTGGGGGGGATTTGGTTTGTTCTTCCCTGGGAAAGGGTTTGAGTTCTTGTTGGGGCACCTTGGAGCAGCTTCCAGTGCCTGAAGGGGCTCCAGGAAAGCTGGGGAGGGGCTTGGGACAAGGGCAGGGAGGGATGGGAGCAGGGGGAAGGGTTTCCAGCTGGCAGAGGGAGCTGGAGCTGAGATGGGAGGGAGAAATTCTGTGCTGTGAGGGTGGGGAGAGCCTGGCCCAGGTTGCCCAGGGAAGCTGTGGCTGCCCCATCCCTGGCAGTGTTGAAGGGCAGGTTGGATGGGGCTTGGAGCAGCCTGGGCTGCTGGGAGGTGTCCCTGCCCATGGCAAGGAGTTGGATCTAGGTGGTCTTTAAGGTCCTTTCCCACCCAAACCATTCCATGATTCTACATCCTCCTCTGGGCTCTCACACATCCTTTCCCAGTCTCCCTGGTTCCACACCCAAGTCCAGCTGAAGCCACTTCCCAGCCACATTTCTACTCACCACCACAAGAGCCTGCTCTGAAAAATCCCCATCAGCTGCCCCCGGGCGCAGAAGGGACTGCAGAGTGTCCTGACACCTCCAAGGGGCAGCAGAGATCTGCGCAGTCACATCCCTTGGTGTCCATGTGCCTCAGGAAGGTGGCTTCTCTCCAGGAGAAACCAGCCCTGGTGGAGTGTGAAGCCCACCAGGCAAGTGCCCAGCACACACCCTCTACTCCTGTCCTGTGTCCCAAGTTACCCAGGTGGGTTGAGGCTCCAGCAGATCATTCCATGAACACTTTCTGTCCCCTCTTCACACTCTGGCTGGGCTCATGTGTGACCACACAACCCCACCTAGATACCTCCAAGTTTGATTTGTTGCTACAGGCAAGGGCACCATCCTCAAAAAGCTGGTTCTTTAGGATCAGCATGGACAGCTGGCCAAAAGAAACCTGACCTAGACACAGGTTTTGGCTGGCAGGTGTCAAACTGGTCACAGGCACCTTGAGCTTTTCAGTGGAAGGGTCAAAGTGCTGCAGAGGAGAAACTGCTCAACACCTCACGTGAGGGAATCATGGAATGATTTGGGTTGGAAAACACCTCTAAGACCATGGAATCCAACAACTCCCCCAGCCCTGCCCAAGCCACCCCTGCCCCATGTCCCTCAGCACCATCTCCAGGGCTTGGAAACCCCTCCAGGGATGGGGACTCCCCCCCTGCCCTGGGCAGCCTGGGCCAGGCCCTGACAACCCTTGGCAGGCAGGAATTGTTCCCCAGATCCAACCTCCACCTCCCCTGGCACAACTTGAGGCCGGTTCCTCTTGTCCCATCCCTTGTTCCTGGGGAGCAGAGCCCGACCCCCCTGGCTCCAACCTCCTCTCAGGCAGCTGCAGAGCCAGCAGGTCTCCCCTCAGCCTCCTTTGCTCCAGGCTGGACACCCCCAGCTCCCTCAGCTGCTCCTGCTCACACTTGTGCTCCAGCCCCTTCCCCAGCTCCCTTGCCCTTCTCTGGACACGCTCCAGCCCCTCCATGTCCTTGGGGTGAGGACAGGGGTTCTCACCCTTCATTTCATTTAATGGAGGTGGTGGTTAAGGACCTGCACTGGGTCAGGGCTTTGGCCCTGG